ACTTCCTACCCCCAACAACGCCAGCCAGCAATCCCTTTATTTCCCGCGGCCTTATCTCGAACAGCGGAAATATTTTCTGTTCGCCGTGTAATTTCCATTCGCGAGCAACCACGTATACCCACACCAGCGTCCCGGGTTTTTCCGAACGGTCCAGCGCGGCCGGCCGCAAGGAGAGCACGGGCAAAATTGCGTATCTTGGCAAAAAATTACCCCGAAGATAGAAAAGGGAGACGGGGGCGGACGCGGGAGGGGAATCGGAAGCCAGACAGCCTGCGGCTAGAATGGACCGTGGACCGTGTTAGCCAGGAGCCGCTGCCAAATGAAATTATCCCCCGAAAGCACCGACGATCTCGGGGGTTAATTCCGCGAAGGGGGTGGCGCCGGGCGGCGCGCTGTTTGTTACAACCCCCGACATCGGTATCACTGGCTGCCCGCTGCCTTGGGCTGACCATAATTTAATACCGGCCGCTAATACATCCCTACCCGGCGTTGCTCAACCCTCGGTTAGATAAGAGTGCTCATCCCCCTCCCTCTCACCCGCGTTACCTGCGCCGAAGGGCGAAAGGGTGTACGCCTGTACCGGAGGCCGGAATTTCTGGACGAAGATTCGAGGCAGTCCCCGCGCGAGTGATAAACTGGATCGAATTGTGGCTGGTTCGATCGGCGAGAGATGAGATCTGCTTGAAATTGCGAAATTTCTGCGTGGGCTTGAAGGGATATTAGGTGGGCGGAGATCGTGCTTGAGGAGAAATTGGAAGGGGATGGTACGCGTGTCGGTAACTGAAGATTTTAGAGAGGATTTGGGAAGCGTGTATGTTGATTAGCTTGTGCTTGGTAAATCTGGGAGTATGGAGTTTTGTTTTCTGGTGAATGGTTAAGGACGATAGTCGTTTTAAAGCTGTTGAAGTTTACTTTCCAGCGGACCGAGTTGTTTCGGAATAATCTCTGTTCGGAGTGCTCTGCGATGGTGAGTTTATCAATCACGTTTAAGTATACCAGTCAGTTCATTCTCGATCGAGGCTCCGAGAAACAATGTCATGTTGCGGCGCGAGCCGGGAGCGCAATTTTCTTTTTGCCCGGTGTTCCTTTAATTCGATGCCAGGTGTCCATATATTTTTCGCGACAGTCGTCGAGGATTTATCGTTTTAATTTCTGACGGGTCGGAAGCGGGAAGAAAAGAGGATATCTCGGAAGGACCCGAGGGATCAGCTTCCTCGGAGGAACGGGAGTGGAAGCGAGGCCGCGCGGCGAGGGTACATTCATCACGAGTTATTAAACAAGCCAACAAAAGGCGACGGTGACTGGAGTCGGCTCGGGGAGGCGGAAGAAAAAAGAGGGAAAACAAGAGAAAAAAGTCAAGCTGGAAGATAGAATCGGCTAATCAGTACATACTCCGCGATGATAGATGACCGGGAGGATTAAGGCAAGGTGTTAGTTCCTTTCCCGAGGATTTCTTCCGACAATGGTAACAAGAAACGAGAAACAAGCCGGAATGGGGAGGCGATAAGACATGGCCGACGCTGGAATGGTAATTCAGGCGGGAATTAGTGAATTATTATTTGATTTGCGCGCGCTAATGTTCGGTGATTAAGATGGCGTCTGGGTTAGCTTTCGTTCCGCGACGAGTCCGTGAGTGAAATGCCAAGATGGATGGCGGCAGGAGTGAAACTTAAGTTCGCTCTTCCGTATGTTGCAACGGAATAAAACAGAATGGAGACGTTGCAACAAGGAAGTCTGCAAACACGCGAAGAAGATATTTTCACCGGATTCCGATTAATTTGATAAATTATTTTATTCATTATCAAATCCATAACTTAACGACAATACTACTCCACAAACCATATCAAAATTCAAATGTAAGATAAAAACTATCAATCCTAAAGGTTCCACCGAGAACTCCCCTAACTTTTAATAAATCCAAACTCCAAGCATCCTCGAAAACTGAAATCGTCGGTGAAACAGCAGCTCCCCCATCTCCGAAAGAAACGAGCCACCCCATCGCCGGCACGAGCAAAATGAAAACAATTTCCAAACGAATTAACCATCGGCGAAACCCCGTTCCGGCTCCATCGAAACCCACTGCCGGCAGTTCGCGGCGCGTTCCTCTCCCCCCCGAACCGGCGCGAAGACATTAATCAGGAAACTTACGAGCGACCTCGCATTCCGCTGTCTCGTCGCGCGTTGTATCGCATAAATACGGGCAGGCGCGGGGCTTGATGGTTAACACGATTCCCCGCGACACGTTGAAGAGGGAGGATTCGTGTTTCCGCGAAACTTTCCGTCAGGGGTTGGAACGTGCCACGCTGACAGACCATCATCCGAGCCGGCAACGATCCTCCATCCCCTCCGCGGCCGTTCCCCGACCGCCCCTCGAGCGCCACAGCCGCCAACCACCGTCTCCGCCACCCCCGTTTCCCTACGGTCGTCCGTGCAGCGCCGGGAGCGCCGCTACCCTCTCGTACCTGTAACATCAATTAAAATTCCCGTGGTCGATGAGCCGCTGTTTCGTGCGATCGTCCGCCGTTTTTAATTGGATTAGAGCGAGACGGCTACACAGGCGGCAGCGCCGGCAACCGGCGCGACCGGGGGGCCGGGAGGGTGGCGGACGTCGAGGGTGCCAGGTTACAGAAAGGAAGGGGTTGGGCGTTCGAATATTCGGACGAGGAAAGGAGAGAGGGGCAGCGAGAGGGGCAGGGACGCACGACCAGGTAAATGACAGAGACAATCTACTCGCACCCCCTTCGATTCCCCTTCGTGCTATTCGCGTGCGGGGTGGGCGAGTATCGATTCGGCCGGGTTAGTTAGAAAGGAAAAGCCCGGAGAAATTAGAGAACGAACTTGTCATTTCGATTTTCTTTTCTTCTTCCCTACCTTCGCTCTGTTGTGCCCCTTGTTCCCGGTCCGCCGACCCGGGGGATGGGGTTGCGCGCCGCGTGAGAATCGGAATTGAAAGTTTCGCGTGACCCGGCGAACCGGGAGACTTCGAGGAAATTGTGAATATCGCGGTGGGCGTGTTGCGACGGCGATCGCGTTGCTCCGTGCGATTATTGTCCGGCGATTACGCGATCGATGGATTTCTGCCGATTGTTCGGCGAGATAATTTGTAGGCTGATTTCGCTGGGATGTAGGTGGAATGTTTTGCTTTCGGGTTCTCGACCTTGTGGGAATTGATTGTGGGGATTGATGCGTGCGTTCGGTTCTCCGCCCTTCGACGTTTTGTGGATTAAGCTGTGTAGGGATTCGTGTGCTGCGATGTATGCTAAATGTTTCTTTCTCAATTGCTGGCGGGATAACTTCTCTGCGGAATTTATTAAAGAAATTGATTTAGTGATACTTGAATTGAATCGTAAGTCAATTGAAGTCTCACTATTCTTAGAGTCTCTGTAGAAATATTTGGAAACATGTATTTAACTGCTTGGTAGTTCTAGTATTAAAGATTCCGTAAGATACCAGAGAGAATTTTGTCGAGAAGATATTGAATATTAGCGTCATGATCGAGGTTGGATGTAATTAAAGATTGGAAGATATTCCGAGGAAAATCTTGTTAAGCACTCGTTAGGCTGTGCAATTTCCTCGTTTCTATCCAGCGCGCGCTGCAGAAATGCATGAAATCCGCGGCGCGAGTAATCATCGGTCGCGCCTCGATTTATTTCGCTCGCGATAAATAACTCAATTGTCTTCTGCCCGTTTTCTCCGAAAGGAACGTGACCATCCCCACGGCTGGCACGTAAATCACATTTATCGGGACGCGGAACGGTGGAAATAGGCTAAATCCATTAATTAAGAGGAAGTTAGAGGCGCGTCGCATGCCTGCTCCGAATTGGAAACGCGACGAAAACGCGTCCAGCCGGACGTACGGAGATCTCTTTTGCGGACAATATTTTCAGGAACGATCACGCCATATCCGTGGGATTTTTCGGCGTGAACTTTCGGCCGGACTGTCCGCATAAATCACTCGGGCAGCCCGCAAACCGCCAGGGGCGGCATTCGTGTGCATCGTATCTGCATTCGCAACACGCGGCATTAATTATGTATTCAATAAATTTTAAACGCATCGAAATGAATTCAAATTGCAGATTAATATTAAACGGTGTTGGCTAATTGGTCGGGCAATTATGCGGTGTTAATTAAACATTAGAGGAGAAGTCCTCGCGACATAAGGATCGGTCCGCCATCTGGCGAAAGCTCGCCGCCATTCCCGGAAGAAAGCTCCTTACGGACAGAGCCATCTAAATGCGGGATGCGTTAGATGTTGGTAAGTCTAGATCGTGGAAGCTCGAGAGCTCATCGCTTCATAGTATTCTTATTTTATCGTTATGCATTAATGTATGTATTCTAATAATTTGTGGAATAAAGACAGATTAGGAGTTTGATTCGTCAAATATTTCACGTGAGATTCCTATACAATTCTTGCAGTCTTGAGTATAAAGTGTTCATTTAATTTTTTGGTAATAGCTTATATGCGGAGACTAATTTTTATTTTCCATTGCTTGTGGTTAATACCAAAATAATCTAATTGATGGATTTGGAATCTTTTATAAAAAAATGTCAATCAAATCACTGATACAATAAATTATGGTGATGTTTAAGAAACTGAATGTTCTAATATCTTCCTGATTTCGCTATTAAAAATATAATTTGGTTTTCAACGGCAGTCACTACCAATTCCTCAATATTGAATCCAATCCTTCATCAGAATTTACCCACAGCAATGAATTATTTCATTGATTTTCACTCCGAAATATTTGATATACGAAATTACAACCGAAAAATCAATGGTTTCCCAAAGAGTATCATCGATCCATCGATTCCCCGATTCAAATGAAACGCAACCACGCAATTCGTACAAGTTTATTCACAAAAAGAAACAGGGACAAGGTGAATGAACATAGCATTTAGAAAAGAAACACTTTATTACATTCACCTACGATCTTTATACGCATATATGTATATATATATACGCAAGTTTGCAAAGTTACATACACAACAACGTACGATTCCTGTTCGATAGTGTGTGTTCCTGCCGGCGAGTACCGTGCGCGTCGCGGCGCATAAAATATCTTCTCCGCCCCCGCGGCGGCTCACCCTTACGGTAAGAAAGTGTACACGATGCGAAATGAGGGACAGCGAACGAAGAAGTCTCGCGACGGGTTTTCTCTCGATTTTCGGCGGTTGTGGTTAAAAACGCGTCACGTTCCTGATATGTCCAAGATTGGCGAACGTTCGTCGAGACTTTGCCATAGGCGTCGGTCGCGATCGGAAATCGGACGACCCGCGGCGAGCGCGGGTGGTCAACGGCGACGATTGAGCGGTGAACGCTTTTAAAAATGGATTTGTACTATAATTCCCCGTTCTTTCGGGCCGGACGTGCTCCGCGCACTCGATACTGCGCCCGCTCTATGGTCAAATCTTCGGACACGTTTCGTCAAACGGCCGATCGAAAAATTCTCGCTCGCGAAACGTCTCGCGCGGCATTCCGTCGCTCCCGAAAATGGTCAGACAAGTTCACGCCCCGCTGATCATTCGTGATTATACCGACCGTCGAGTATATTACAGCATATCGACTACATTAATATTCCCGCTCGACTTTATAGCTCCGTTCCCGATTGATTATGCAGCTGGGACGCGATTACGTGATTAATTGAGGATAAATTGAACAGCGAGTCGCAAGTTTTCGGTCTCTCGGTCGATCCATTAACCGTGTTCACCGAGGAATTCGTTCCAATGAAATTTTCGTTTGTTCAGAGAAGTTAGTGGATCGACTGTTACAGCGATGCCGGATTCGAATCCGTGGGATCTCCTGAACGAACATTCAAAGAAAGTACCGGGCTAGCTCTTTTAGAAGCATGATCACGGTTTCACACGTAGGAGGTGTATAAATTCTTCGGTAAAATCGACGCTATAGTTTTAACCCATTCAAGATACGTTGCCTATATAACTTAACGCTACGGCTATTTTATGCACGCTACCACGAAACGCCCTCTTCGTCCTTAGTCGTATCGGTTAACATGTCACTCGAAAGTACGCTTCGAAACCACCTTAACACATGTAGTTTGATCTTCAACGATGATAATAAATAATTTATTTACATGTCTCATGAAAAAAAATCTCCGGTTCAGATTGTCTATTACGAGTTCCGCATTGTTAGAAACTTCAGTTGTTCGCACAATTGTTACTGAATTGCAGGGAACTGCGTGACCAGCGACAGGTATCGAGTACCTTCATAGGATAACAAGCTTTCCGCCAGTCTCTGCTTGTTCTGTGGTTGATGCGGTAGGATCCTGCATTCCGCGGTTGACAAAGCAGAAATCGGCAATGTATTCTTGCACAGAATATTCCTCCGACGGATGAGAGTTCCACGCCACCAGTGCTTCTAGTCAAAGTTACAGCGGCGTTTCCTCCTCTTCCAGTTACCTAGGTGTCGGAGGAGGTGGTGGTGGTCATACGGCGCTACCTGTGTAGAATCCTGATTTACCAGCCAGCCCGGGTCCTCGTTTCCTCTTCTCGCATTCCATCGTGCTGAAAGTATTCTGAGCGATCTGCGATTTCCTCTTCGGATTCTGCAGCGTCATGCTTCTCTGACTCGAGTTGGAGCTCGAGCTGGTGCCCGGTTCGGATACCCTGAGGATACCAGAGTGTATCGTCCCGAAATTTTGATAAATATACTGAGACTGAATCGCCGAGACGGACGTGTTCTGGTTCTTCAGAGTGATGGGCACTGTCTGGCCAGCTAAAGTGTTGTACCGGGTGTCGTACCCGAACGGAGTGTCCAGCAGAGACTCATTCTTCTCGCCATACCCGGTGAGTCTCGAGTCCAAGAGACCTTCTTTCTCGGTGAAAGCGCTCAGTCTTGAATCCACTATACTCTGTTCAGCTGTTCTCGGCGAGAACTCGGTGTACCGTGGTTCCTGGCCAACAGGGTGCTCCTTGCTCTCCGTAAAGGCTATCATGTTCTGTCGAGAGTCGGAGAGGATCCTAGAGTCTATCAATCCTTCCTTATCAGCGAATCCACTTAGTCGTGAATCGATCACACTGGCCTCTGACTTTCCACTGAATGTATAGCCAGGGTCCGCGTTTTTCGCGTCCGGGTACGCTGGTAACACGTGCGAGAGATCCGCTTTATCGACGTAGCTGATCGCCTGCGGATTCGAGGCGCAAATGTCCGGCGCGGACTTGCATAAAAGGGACGTGCCCTCTTCTGCAACCCTCTGGGGCGCTGGAAAATGATCAATGCTATTGTTAGTTACCTGGAGATAGTGTAGAATCAGTTGCTTATACAAGTAGGATCGTTTGTAGTTACTTTTCGTAGGTTGCCCGAAGCCTCTGGTCTGAGGTGGTCCAGGGGACTTCTGATGAGCTCGCACGAGATACTCAGAACTTAAGCCTCGCTGCTCTCTTAGCTTCCTTTCAGCTCCTGGCACCATGACTCTGACCTAAAAGACAAAGATAAAGTCAACACTGGCTTCTAATTTCTTCGTATACCCTATTCAGTGACTAGGTAACTATTCGATTTCGTTGCTGGTAAGCTAACGGTTCTTACCATCTCTTCGACAGTCGAGAAACGAGCCATGTATCCAGACATCGTCAGAACGGCAGCCACTTCTGCCAGTATTAAAGCCAACCCCGACAACTGTAGGCACCAGCCGTAGTGGTACTGAGGCAGACCGTTGTCGTCCGTCTGCATGCTGGACGTGGATGGCAGACTGTACTTTCCAGGAATCTCCCAGGACGCGTCGGACAACGCCGATGCCAGGACTATCAGGCCTCCACCTAACGAGAGCCCTGGAACGCAATTGGAATTATTACTTGGCTTACTTCCTAATGTTCCCGATATTTATGGTTTTCGAGCGGAATCGATTCCGCCGTGACTTATGGTCGGAGCTCGCGATTAGAATTCGCTGTCCGAGTTTGCCGAATGCGGAACGATTACTTATGGAGTTCGTAAGCGAAGGGCATCACCGGTAATTCAGTGGTTGAGCTTCAGCTTGAGTTTAATCGAGGCCGGTTGTTTAAAGTGCTGAGAGTTCATTCAGTCATTTATGCTTGTGATGTTACTGTCATCCTCTTAATAGTCTACAATTTCTCTTAGCACGAAGATGTTATCGAAATTCTCACTTTTCGGTAGTATAATAGCTGAAGATACTTGATTGGAGCATTGATGGATAAGAAAAGCTGATGCTAAAGGAATTTAAAGCTTGATGGCGCTATAGAATCAAGATGATAACTTCGATACAATTTTAATCTGATCGCAAGCCAGCTGCGTAGACGTATATCTGACTTTTATTACGGTTGAACCGATTATATATCTTCCAGCTTGCTTCATCGCGTCCCCATAAATACAACAGCTTACAACGGTAATGCGAGACGAATGGAACCATTAGAATTTATCGTTCCATAAAATTTGTCACGTTCACTGCTATTCGGCCGCACTTCCACCGTGAATTATCTCCGACGTTAGCGGCGATTGTGTTTTCGGCTGACATTTCACAATATTTTCCAAGATGCGGACACGCTTTCTTTATTCCCCATCATATCGGTAGTCTACAATATTTGACAAAGTTACACAGTTCTTCTCGTTCGACTCACCAGTCATCTATACAGAAACCATAACCGAAGTCTCAACATTTCAATTCATTTCTAACAGCATAACCCACCAATCCCTAGATCTCTCATACTACCCCATCGTGTCTAAAAAACTCAATATTATCCATATGTTCGCTTATTCTCCCTATTTCTGTTTCCGATTGATCAAAATGCAGCCAATTTCGCGTGAAAGCTTTCCTCGCGAGGAAAATGGGCTTCCCCGTTTTCTCCGCTCCGCGGAGAGCGTTAAACACGCTCGGGAAAGGGGGCATCTTGCGCCCCAGCGTCGCGTTTACTCTTTATCCGCGATATGTTCTCCCGGAGTGTGAAGCTCGCGACATAAAAATTTGCATACGCGTAAAACGGACGACCGTGGCGTCCTCTTCGCCACGGTCGATTCAATTCTGGTCGGCCCACCGGCGACGGGACGCGCTGTTATGACGGGGCAAGCCAGCCAGTTATTGCATTCTTAACGGTGGATATTCGGGCCGGGTTACAGCGGGACACCGGGACCATTGCTGGAACGCGTCTGGCTAATGCTCGAGCGACTCGTTCCTCGTCGCGATATTTTCTAGCCATTTTTCAAGTGGCCCTCCGCTGTTCGTTTGTCGCCACCCTCTCGGCCCCGTTCGCCCCTTAATGGAGCTCCGCGAGTCGAGTAATCGTTGCTGGTACAATTAAACAGGTTGCTGTCCGTCGTGATTCATCGTCGATGAGGATTCGGTGCTTGGTTCTGCTTCTTCTCCAGCGCGACGTTTAAAATTTACCTTTTTTTCCATGGCGAACGTCGTATTATTTTGCGACAAGGATTTATGAACTCGGTAATGTGCGCTTTATTATGCAATAATAGGAATTACTGATTCTTCTGGGGAGCAGTTTAAAGGATTCGCTGAAAAGAACGTTGCTTCAGCGACAATTGTACGGAATTATTGGATGTTTCTGAATGATGAAATATTTGAATTTCCGAATTCTTCGATTTTATGTTGAAATGCACAGATTGCTGCAGGAATTAGTGGGATTTCATGTTTCGCGTCGCACGGTGTATAATGAAATGGAATAATTTCATAATGAAAACGCCGAGCGCGTCAAAGCGAAGGAATAATAATTTGTGTAATGTCCAACGATATTATAAGAGAAGACGGAGAGTAGATAATTTATTACGCCGATAGGGCTCGACGAAATGATGGATGACCGATTCGCGGGAGTAAACTGGAAATTCCTCTCAATTTTTCGGGAAAGCTCTATCGGCGCGGTGCTGGTGCGGCCGGATGGATTACAGGATTTATCCGCGGCGAGCGATTAATTTCAATAATTGATTGCTACTTCGGCTTGTCAAATTACAACGCGCATAAAAAGCATGCATATTTCATTTCGCGCGTGTCCCTTGAACGGCGCGAATGCGTACGGCGAATTTAAATTTCAATTAACGCCGCCATACGTTCCGGCAATTGGACGTAACGTCGCAAACCGTGGCGAAGTTTATGCTTCGTTCCGATTCGAGCCACGTAACGCGGCTCCTCCGCACGCGCGATGTACACGCCCGCGTAATTGTAAAAAATGAGCTGAATCTCAGAATTTAAGCCCTTGAATAATTACGTAATTTATTTATCTACCTAACTCTGTTACCGTTTATTTCGTTTTTCGGAGGAACGTACACTGACTCGCCGGTGTCCTTTCGCATTAAAGTACCCGTATCACGCATCTCGTTTTCCGGCGGTTTTAACAACGACAATTCTGATCGTAATTGTAAACATTACTATTGGGATTTAAATTAGAAAATTGTAAAACATAACTCTCTTTCGAAAGATTTTGAACAGCAAACAGTCGATACAGTAATTCGGAAAATTGCAGATCATTTGAATTTCGTTTAATTTTCGACTGTTTGGACGAGGATCATTTGATAAATAAGAATACCGCCGGTGGAAAATGAAGAAAAACAGGTATAAACAGAAATAACGAGTATACTCATAACTTTTGATTAACACATCGAAACATCACAGCCAATGTACACGAATCGAGTGATAGATGAAACAGCTGCCGGAAGTGTATCGGCTGAGAAGCCTTCCGGATAGCGAGTACAAGATACGCTGGCACAAATATAATTAATTCTCGGAGTAATTCGAACGCCGGCAGAAGTCGATACGTGACAGAACACGCGGCCACCATTCCTCTCCTCGTTTCTTGAACAGAAATCCGCTTCTTCCCTCCCCGCAACCCGTTCGCTCGTATCGACGAATGGATTCCTATACGCGGGAGAGCTTTAATTAGCGCGGCGGCTTGTCAGCGGCCGCGTTCTCTTATTCAGCGATTTCGTTTCCGAGCGTGCCAACGACGAACGGTGTTTATCAATTAGTCCTAGTTAGCGAGTGCGACCTAATTTCACGCGTCTTCGGGAACAATCCGCCGACAGATATGGAATCCCCTCGGGGAATGGTATTAACGCGACGACCGGGCACGGCAGTTAATTCGTCGGCCGTGTTCACTGGGACTTTCGAATTAGCTTTTGCATTCTCTTATTGCTCTGCACAGTTAGGTGTTGTAAATATATATATTTTCATCTGTTAATCCTTTACACTCCAGAGCCGCCTCTAAGTCACCAAATGATTTGACACAGCGAAACTGTAAATTTTGATATTTAATATTCAACTTTGAATAATGCATTAATGTGCGAAATATTGAAAGAAAATAGTTCGCTTCCTCAATGCATGTGAGATTTCTTAATTCAGTCTAAGAAATGGTTTGTATCTCATTAGAAAATATTGAAAACTTCCAGTGAAAAACTTTTGGAGTGCAAAGGGTTAATTAGGTAGATTTATGTTTTTTATTTTGGTTTTACGTAGTGATATATTGTAGATATATATTTTGATCTGTTAATTAGGTAGGACGACTCATGTTTTTTATTTCGGTGCATTTATAGATATTTTCAAGTGAATTTTCATATTTCCATTATGCTTATGGAAATGTTTCAGATCTAATTATGTTAAATCAATCTTCCAATGTTCAAGACAAATTTCCATTTATCCTCTATTCCCAGACATGCTTCGATCTAATTCCAAACGATCCCTTCGCTGCGCAGCTAATTGATCTCTAGACGAGAAGTTTAATCAATTCGACTCGAATATTTTCTTCATTGCCAATCTCACTTAAGCTCTTTAGGACACACATACACCGTAATTTCTGTCAGATCATTAGCATTCACCTTTGATTACGTCCATACAGGGTTCCCACGGAGGGGAAGGTCATTCAATTAGCAGATTAAGTGGCGGGGAAGATCGCGAGTAGAAAGAAGGCTGTATCGAGGGGGAAAAATGGAGTCGCTGGAATCGGGTCGAGTCGATAATGATAATTGATGTCAAGGCGTAACAAAGTTTCGATTGATACCCTCCTTTTTGCTCTTTCTTGTTTTCGCCGCAACGATGTTTGCGGCCGGTGAAATAAATCGAGGTCCAGGGGCTCCGGACGAACGAAAGTTGGCGAACAGCAGTCGTCAAAGCGGCGACGAGTTCGGAATATTCGATCGAGAGTCGTTTTGAATTTCTCCCGACTCGACTCGACTGCGCCGCGCTTTGTACCCGCACGACTACTCAACGTATTGCTCAATTAATTAGCAGTAATTGTAATTTAGCCGGGGAACGTGGAGGTCACGGGGCTTCCGTTTCGGAGAGAATGAACGCGCCATCTGCATTTTCATTTCGAAGGCAACGTCGCGCTTCAGTTTCATTTTTGTTGCGGCAATTAACGGTTCAAGGGGTAATTAAGCTTCCAATGTTTAATTGGTACCGGAGGTTTTCAACGTGGAAACTTTTTCAAGTGTTTTGAAATTTTCACTCGGTAACGGGTTGCCAAAGTTTCATTAACGTAACCGTGGCTTTTAGTACGCCGAAGTAATTGCGAGTTCGCGTTTAAACGAAGAGGGATTGTATAATTCTATGATAATGAAATTTTCGATAGAACGTTCCGAGGCGATAGAAAAGTAGAATGTAATATCTATGCGTTCTGTAAATCGATCACGTGTTGCACACCAGCTGCACGATCCTGATAGCCAAGAAATGTCAATGGGACTGCGGGAGACGTGAAATTGACAGCCACCACTCTATTCTCTATTGTGCAAAAACCAATAGCGAAAAATAGAAAGGGACTACAAGCGACGATATTAACACGGATATTGGTTACTACTATTGTGCCAGCAAACAAGAAAT